GGGGAGCCTACTGCCTCTGAACCCCACTATTTGCTTTCCCCCTCCCCATCCCCCAGTGAACCCCAATTATAACGGAGGGGAACCCAAGCGCTCGAGGACAGCCTACACCCGGCAGCAAGTCCTGGAATTAGAGAAAGAGTTTCATTACAATCGCTACCTGACCCGAAGGAGAAGGATCGAGATCGCCCACTCGCTGTGCCTCTCTGAGAGGCAGATCAAAATCTGGTTCCAAAACCGTCGCATGAAATGGAAGAAGGACCACCGACTCCCCAACACCAAAGTCAGGTCAGCGCCCCCGGCCGGCGCCGCGCCCAGCACCCTCTCGGCAGCCACCCCGGGCACTTCTGAAGACCACTCCCAGAGCGCCACGCCGCAGGAGCAGCCGCGGGCAGAGGACATCACCAGGTTATAAGACATAACTCACACCCTGCCCCCACCCCAGCCCCGTCCTCCCCTCACATACAGATTGACTCTTATTTATAGAATTTAATATATATATATTTTGGTTCTTTTCTCTCTTCTTCCCACCTGATCCCCTGTCAATTCTAAACAGACAAAACAGATAAACAAACAAGCCCCCTGCCCTTCTCTCCCTTCCACTATTAAGGACCCTTTTAAGCATGTGATGTTGTCTTAGCATGGTACCTGCTGGGTGTTTTTTTTGTTGTTTTTTTTTGTTGGTTTGTTTTTTTAAGGCCATTTTGGGGGGTTATTTATTTTTTAAGAAAAAAAAACTGCAAAAATTATATATTGCAAGGTGTGATGGTCTGGTTTGGGTGAATTTCAGGGGAAATGAGGAAAAGAAAAAGGAAAGAGATTTTTAAAGCCAATTCTTCTCCTCCTCCTCCTCCTCCTTCCACCCCTCTTTCCTTAGGCCTTTTGCATTGAAAATGCACCAGGGGAGGTTAGTGAGAGGGAAGTCATTTTAAGGAGAACAAAGCTATGAAGTTCTTTTGTATTATTGTTGTGGGGGGAGGCTGGGAGGAGATGGGGGAAGACAGCAGACAAAGCTAAATGCATCTGGAGAGCCTCTCAGAGCTGTTCAGTTTGAGGAGCCAAAAGAAAATAAAAATGAACTTTCAGTTCAGAGAGGCAGTCTATAGGTAATCTCTTCCCCCCCACACCTCCCATCGTGGTTATTGTGTTTTTGGACGAATTTACTTGATTATTGTAAAACTTGCAATAAAGAATTTTAGTGTCGATGTGAAATGCCCCGTGATCAATAATAAACCAGTGGATGTGAATTAGTTTTACGTCAATGTCTGATGGTTTCTTTTTATCTCCCTCCTCCTTCTGGTCTGGTAACATCCCACCTTCTCTATAGTTGCCTAAGTTTACTCAAAGCAAACACACAAATCTTAACTCTCAACTCTAGTTTTACAATGTCCTTAAAAGAACTAGTAAGGGGGTTGGGACAGGGTACCCTCAGTAGAGGGGATGTGGAAGATGAGGGCTGGTTTCTCCTGTCCCTTCCCTCTGAGTCTGCAAAGAGGTCAGACTCTCCTGGGGCTACTTACAGTGGAGCTGGGGGGATAGGGGTTTCACTTTTCTATAGTTAGGCACAGTGCCTTCTTTTTTCTATTTCCCTCTCCTACCTTCTCCCTTCTCTCTGCTGAGCAGGCCTGCCTAATTTGCAGACAAGAAGGCAAGTTTAAGGAGTGGGGAGAAGAGTTTTTATCTTTTAGGGCTCTTTTGGGATGAGGGATTAAGAAAGATGCCCCTTCAACATGTGCGTTCTCCTTAAAAGAAGAAAGATTTTGAGCTGGTGATTCTGAAGCAGCAGAGTGACCTGTCAGGATGGCTTCTCTGTTTGTTTAGACTTGGAAAGAAGGGTGAAGTGGAGGCCAGAGGCCTGGGAGGCCCCCTTGCATGGGTAGGCCTCAAAGCCTGATGACTGGAGATAATGAAGAACTTTTATTTTTCCCCCTAACTTTTATCATGGACCTGCCAGGTGTTGAGAAAAGATCCAGGGAGAGGCAGGGACCACCCCTGTTCCTGTAACCTCCCAGGTCCCGGCAAGGCTGAGGGAAGGCTGAAACAAGGCTCTCTGACTGTAAAATTTTTGTTTTAAAATTACTTCTTCAGGGCTAAAAAACAAAAACAAAAAGAAGCAAAATAGGAAAACTGGTCTGGGTTACCTGAATAGTTAATTTAAGCAAAGGTTCCCAAATAATTCTGGTCCTGAAGACCAAGCTCTAAACAAGACCTGCTCAAATTTTTGCTTATTTGTTGGGAGAAGGTGGGGGAGGTAGTTGGCGAGCTTCTCAGGCAATTTATCCAAATTTTAGGATGGAAGACTATCAGAAGAGAGAGGAGAGAGAGATCTGGGGTGTGTAGGGGATCCAGGGATACTTCTTTCCTCTCTCCCCAAATTCTGGAGTGAAAGGCAACAAGAGGACCAAGTTGTGAAAATCAGTTTGGTGTGATCTGGATTTGTTTCCTCTTGTACCACTTGCTGGCTGGTTCTTGGAGTGGAGTGTGTGTGTGTGTGTGTGTGTGTTGAGGGGAATCACTTGGTCCTGTAGGTCTACTTTCTCCTTCCTCAATGGTGCCCTGGAGACAGCAAAACATGCTGCCTACAGTGCGAGGAAGCAGGGCCAACAATTACCTAGAGTTATTTTATGCAATCAAGTGAATTAGGGGCCAAATCTGACTGTAGCTGCTGTCACCTTGAGGGAGTTGACTTTGGGGCAGGAAGAGAGGGTCTAGCTGTGCTTGGGAAAAGGGAAGGAAGGTCTGAGGGGTGGACCTGGGTGTCTTTCCAAGCCTGTAAGGAAGCTAAGGTGGAAAGAGAGGGATGAAAAAAGAAAATTAAGATTCAAAGTCCTTTCCTAACTTTGCCCATTTGGTTTTAGAGGAATTCATTCTCTCTCCTTCTGAAAATAGAAGAGATGAAAGCAAAGAGGGGAAAAATGACTGTTTTATTTCTCCAGCTTCTCCCTGAAGTTGCTGAAGGAAAAGCAGCTTAAAAGAATTGGGACAGTCTTTTATTTTCCCTCTTTAGGGGCTCCAGTTTCTCCTTCCTCTTCTCACACATAAACACATAGTCATTCTCTCTGTGTCTCTATCCCCCCATTGGTCTGAAACATCTGAAATCCATAATTCTTGACCAATAAAACAAAACTAGATCTCTTTACATTTGAGTTTTTGAAAATTTCAGCCTCCCTCCAGTGGACTCCATTCTCTCCTCTTTCCCCAAACTCTCCTTTGCTTGGACCTGACCATGCAGAATGGGACCAGGCTGCTGGGGAGGATTGGGGAGAGAAGCGTGTGGGGCAGCCTGGGCCAGGCCCCTGAGCTCTGGCAGGCTTGCTGCTGCTCCACCCGATGCTGCTCCAGACTCACTGGGAAGCCCAGGGCAGAGGGCTGGGGCTTTTTATTGAAGTTGGGTTGAGTAGTGGGGAAAGGCTGGCGGTGGGGGTGGGGGGAGGACGCAGCCCAGGTTCACGGGGAGGGCACAGCATTTTCTCTCCCATCGCCTTTATATTCGGCAGCGCCTCTGACCTCTCCCCCACCCCCATCTCCGACCCTCCCAAGCCAGCCCTGGCTCAGCCCCTGGTCTCCAGATAGTATGCCACTGCTTTTGTGGGGCTGGCGATTTCTTGCCTAGAGTAATGGGAGAGGCAAGGCGCATGAACGCCTGCCAGCACATTGTATCTCTCTCCAATGGCCAAGTAAAAAGAAGACGGGGTGAAACGACAACACCAATTTTCCAAGGTCCTTCTCTCCAAGCACCAGGAGATCCCCACAGGTCAAAAATCCCCTTGACATGTAAGTAGTTAGCACTCGATCTGCTCTGGGGGCAAGGAGCTTAGCAGTTTCAATTCTATCTCTGTTTGCCATTCAATTTTTATCTCAATTCTGGTCTTGGGGAAGGAAGGCGGGAAATCTAATCCTGAACGAAGGGCTTCTGCTAGGGGAAAATGGAGTTTCTGCGCCGACTGGTGTACTAGAGGAGTGAAACAACTTGGCTCAAAAAGGGGAAAGAGCTGAGAAAGTGAGCCTGGGTGAAAGGACAGGGCAACTTTGTTTCTCTGAGGGCTTCTCATTGCTGTTTGTACGAACTTTCCTACAAAAGTTTTTCTGCAATCTGTGCCTCAGCTTTTTTCATACGTGGACTTGGTGGATTGTAATCCAGAATGTATGTGTGTATTTAAGGAAGATACAACAATTAAAGGGTTCTCCAGCTTGCAGCCAGGGTAGCCCGTGCTAGGCACAGTTTGTCTGCTTTTCTAAGATTATGGAACAGTGATTACCAAGGGAGTCCTTGAGACTGAGGTTGCTATGACCGCGAGGAGCATCGGGCTGGGGCAATTTCACCATCCTTTTCTCTGCTTTTTGCCCAGTCCTGGGAGAGTATGCCCTCACAAAGCCATTTCTCATGGTTTCCACAGTTCCTATCTGGCACCCCATCTTTGTAGAGCTAATTCTAATAGAAGTGTTCCCCTTTCAGGAAACCAGTCTCAAGCTTGGAAAAAAAGATGAGGGATCCCCCAACTCCAGCGGTGATCAGAGCAGAGGGAATATTTATTACCTCTCTGGATATCATTACCTAAGAATACAATTTTATGAACTTCCTAATCTGTTAGCTTGATTTATCTGGATGGGCAGGAGCCCAAAATAAACATTCGGGGGATTTGGTAGAAATGGAAATCTTTGCCTCTGACCAATCTTTCTATTACAACTGACCACCCCCGTTGGCCTGTTTTTTTCTGCACCCCGGATCACTAGCCTCATTTTAATTTTTCTCCTGCAGCGTGTACTGAGTTTTAGCTGCCTCTTGAGAATGAAAAATTGTAGGTGCATTGTTTGAACCAGGCAGAGACTTGAAGGGGTCCCTCAGCCACCTTAAAACCTGTGCAGCTGAAGGAGCTCACATCCCTTTTGGATTTGGGGACAGAGAAGAAACCAAGGTTTGCTCACTGCCCTCCAGATCCAGGAGCCTCTTCTCAGAACTTGCTCTCCCTCCATTCCTCGGGATTTTTCTGCTCTTCTCTCTGGTGTCAGCTCTGTAGCTTCTTTGAACACAGGGTCCATCCAGAAGCTGAGCCCACATCCATGCAAGCAGGGGTAAGGGCCTCTGCAGCTCCACCTTCCTGCTTTGAGTTCCTGCAGGCCCAGCCAGCTGATAAATCAGGAGGCCTGGAAAACAAGGATGGGTAGGGAGGGTCTTGGAGAGCGTGTGAGGGTGAACAGGGTTACAGAGTCTAATAATGGGAAGGGACGATTTTAAATTTCCAGTCCCGGTCAGCAATTCTCAGATTCCGGAAGAGGAGGGTTTCTGGGGTCTGCTCTGTTGGTCCCGATGGTGTATGGTCAAGCCCAAAGAAGTATCACCTCTACTCACTCCTCCTTTCTGACCCCATTTCCTAGCCTCAGAGATTATGAGAGCAAAGCGTATTTGAACTTCTGGGCAGAGAAGCCCTAAAACGGAGCATGTAGGGAGGCACTGCCAAATAACCCAACCCTACGTTCCCGCTCTGACCTCTGGCTTCCCGGAAGCCGAGCAAGAGAATGGGTTCAAAGTGGCTTGCTTTCAT